GGTGGGCCACTGAGATGTTGGTGACCGCAGGAAAGCTGGACCCTGGAACCATCGGTCTTCTGCATTTATCGATCTGCTGGAAAGTCGTGTGGCGTCGTCGGCTACGTTCAGGTCGGTCGGTAGCCATCGCCACTCTTCCTTTTGAGTGAGTTCCGATATTTCGCCCAGTCGATGGGCGACGAAAGGTGTATATCGTCGCGTCTCGTTGCGTACCAATGTACCACTGTTGACGAGTCCGTCCAGAAGACAGTTCTGTCGATGTCGATGCGATGTTCCCGTCGTATGGTGTCCGCCAACCTCGCCCCGATGACGGCTGCTTGGAGTTCTAGTCGTGGAATTGTCTGTATCTTCTTCGGCGCCACCTTCGCTTTCGCCACGTTTGGTTGGAGCTCGCGTTCGTGTGCGCACGTCGATCGGCACCCTGTTCATTGAGGTGTTGAAACCGAGCTCGTCTCTGTCGGCGTCCCATACGAGTCCGAGTATTTTATTTTCGGACCCGTCGCGTCCCAATTGCGTTGGCTTGTGCGTGCTCAAGTTGTGTAGCTCTTAGGGTATATCGCGCAGCGCCGTTTCGTGATTTGAATTCCAGCCCCGCAGTGTGAAGCCGGCCGCCGTGTCTACCGTCCTCGTTTCGCTCGCCACCCGCCTTGCCTCGTCCGGATCGTTGTAGCTGGCCACTAGGTCGTCCATGTAATGGCACTTCGTTATAGCTTCGTAGGCGAGCGGGTGTGTCTCGACGTGGATCCTTGCGTTGTGGTTCCTGATGAAATGTGCTAGGAACGGCGAACTGGCTGCTCCGAACATCATACTGGTCATCTTGTAGACGCGTGGAGCACCTTCCCTGTCGTCCCCGCGCCACAGGAACTGTTGAGCTGATTGATCTTGTGGTCATATCTTGATCTGCAGGAACATCTCTTGTATGTCCGCGGTTATTGCGGTCGCCTTCTCGCGGAACCTGAACAGCACTCCAGGTAGGGACAGCAGCATGTCGGGCCCTTCGAGTAGATGATCGTTGAGGCTGACTCCGTTGCTCTTGGCGGCCGCGTCAAACACCAACCTCAGCTTTCCAGGCTTGTTCGGATTCGTGACGGCGAAGTGAGGTAAGTACCACGCGACGTTACTTTCCCGTTCCTTTCCATCGCATGGCACTGCATACCGTTTCCTGAGCAGGTTTTCTATTTGTGCGGTGTACTCCTGGGCGAAACGTGTGTCGGTGTCCATCCTCTTCTCGGTCTTTCGGAGCCGTCGAAATGCCGCGTTATAGCTTGGTGGTAAGGTGACGTCGTCTCGGCGCCACGGTAGTCCTATCTCGTAGCCGTCGTTTGTTCGCTTGACGGTTTCCTCGGCGATGGTGACTGCTCTTTTCTCGTTGCTGTTTAAACGTGGTTCCTTCGAGATCGCCAATGCGTCGATCTTAAAATGCTCTTCGACCAACTCGTGTAGCTGTTGGTCGTGGTTAATGTTTCTCGCCCCGGTTCATACAGGTGCAGTACGTGTTCCGTTCTTAAGATGGTGTTTCGTGGCGCGGTTCCATGCACCACCCATCCGAGCTGCGTGCGCGACGCTGCGGGTTGCTCGCGTTCGCCGACTCTTAATTCTCTCGACACTATGCACTCCCAGTGATCGGTGCCTATGAGGATGCCAGGGCGAGCTCGTTCGTAGCTCACCTCGTCGATTTTCAAGTCGCGCAGGTGTTCACTCTTCAAAAGTTCCTTTGGTATAGATTGTTGATGCAGGTTCAGGTTTCGCATCGTTCTCGCCTTTATATCGAAGTTATTTTCTTCCATGAGACCCCGGATGTTGAACGAGACTAGTCGGCTGCGTTGTTCTTTCTGTTGCATGTTGACGCCACGTAGGTGCAGCGACTGTAGGGAACCTTCAGCTCCGATCGCCTTTGCCAGCTCCTCGTCGATGAGTGTGACGGTCGCTCCCTCGTCGAGAAGTGCATGCGTCTTCACCTCCCCCCGTGGACTGCTGACGACCACTGGGCATATCTTTAGTAACACGTTCGCAGCGCCGGTTGCTCGCGACGCCATCGACAGGACGGCTTCCTCGTTTGGCTTCTCGTCCTCTGTTGGCTTGATGTCCTCATGGAGTGTGGGATGGTGAGGTCGTTAACACTGGTTAATTCCGCATGGCTTCGCTCGGCAGGTGATGCGCCTGTGTTTGCTGCTTATGCACTTGTAACTTGAAGCACACCTTCTTGTCCTTGACTAACTCCCAACGTTGACTGACCGTGAGCGATTTATATTTGGGGCACTGCGGCAAGTGATGAAGTTGACCACAGCCAGGGCATACCTCAATATCTTCAGTCGGCTCGGCCGTCGCGTATACTGGTTGTGTTCTTTTCTTCAGGACGATCGCTGGTCTGCTCTCTCTTCGTGCTGCGCTCGTGGCAATGGTGCTTGTAGATGGTGCATACGTGAAGCGCAGCGCTCGATCTGCTTCACGCATCAGGAAGCGGGACAGCGTCACAATCTCCGGTTCTCTCACGTCGTCTTGTTCGTGTGCGTAATCGCACCACCTCGATCGCAGGTGTGGGCTCAGTTTTTCCAGCACCTCTCTTGCAAGTAAGGGGTTGAAGAGATATCCCCTTTTGTCGATGGTTTGCAATACGCATACGGTGTTTTGTACTCGTATGGCGAATGCGTTCAGCTCCGTTGCCGATGATCCTGGCTTCGACATTTTCTTTAGTTCGTCGAGCGATCGGTAGATGATCACTTCTGGTCTCCCGAAGCACTGTTCTAAAGTTTTCATGATGATTTCAGGATCTGAAGCGGTGTGAAGGAGCGCGGCTACTGCGTCCCGTGCTTCGCCCCTGAGGCAGCTTCTCAGTCGTTGAACGTTTTCTGCCGACGATATGTGATATATGCGCGTTGTGTCTCGGAATGCAGCGTAAAACGGCAGCCACTCGTTGATCGCACCCGAGAAGGTCGGTAGGTCGGTGTGCCGTAGTCGTGGTCGCGCCATTTTTTCTAGTGTTTTCTAGTGTAGCCGCTAATTGTTCGATGCCGCTTTTTCTTGTGGGTGATTTCGGCCTGTGACCGCCTCTTATTTCTTCTCGCGGCGCTCCCCCCGTTGTCACCTCCCCCCTTGGTTCGAGCGGGTTTGAGTGTAACCACTCGACCACCTTTTCCCGTTCTTGGGCAGGCGTTAACGGCGCCTCATGTAGCGACTCCTGGTCGTCCTGAATGGCCGACACCTCGGCGGCTAGTCTTTTCTTGACCAGTTCTGCTTCAAGTTCCAGTTCTTTTCTTTTTATGTTGGCCAGTCTTTCCGCCGCCTCCAGTTCTGCCAGCCTTAACCTCGTGTTGACGCTGGCTGTCGAGCGGTGTGACATTGCTGGCGATCGTTGACGGCGATGTTCATTTTGTTCCAGTAGCGCTGAAGAGGGTTCCGTAGGGCGTGGATCGTGGCCGAGGCGGGCAGACGGGTGCATTGTTCACCGGTACCTGTTCGGTGTGGTACGGGTGACGCTGGAGGTTCGAGGGACAGTCGTCGTTGACGTTCTAACTCAATACGATCGATCTGTCGTTCTTGCGTCCGTCTTCGTTCTTCCGCGTCGGTTGAGTCGCCTTGGCTCCGGGTAATAACCATTTTCTTGTTTGAGCTCTTCGGAAATCTTCTAGTTGACAGCAAATGTTCTTCACTATCCGGCTACTCGATGGACCAAAACTGTAGTGGACTGTATTTAATTTTGAGTGTTCTTCCAATATAAGAGTTCTTCCTTGTAGACGTTTATTATTTTTCATCACAATTGAGCCGTATCGTACAAATTTTTATTTACATATGTATATACACTGACATTGGTATGACAATTAACTAGTATTTAAAAGCTAATCTTCGGGCGTCGACCAATCACGGCCTCGATCCGCCGTCGCGGTGGCGCCACCCAGGGCGGTTCGACAAGCGGTGAATTCGCTGCGACTGGTTGCTCTGCCGTTGACTAGTAGAACGCGCGACGAACTATTTCTTGACGCGATGTGGTTGTTCAACCGGTGTGTTAGGCGACACTTTGTTATTTTCTTCACGTAATTACGCCTGTAAATTATTTAGGCGATCCGTTAGCCGCTTGAGTCGCTAACAAGGGGTAAAAAGTTTTTGCATCACGTATTAATATATATATAGAATTGATAATATATATATATAGATTATATAGAATTGTCAGTGTACAAGTTTTACCGAACTTATTCGCACAGTCAACGGTTATCGGGGTAGGCGACACTCCGTAGCTAACGCACGCATGAGCACATGCGCGGCCCTACCCACTGTGGAGGGCCTCAAACCCGTGGGTTCTGGCTAGCCCACCGGTTCTGCGTTCGATGAAGCTTTAATAGTCTCGGGACTGAAAGCGTTAACATCAGTTAATACAAGATACCGAACTTATTTAGCCCCAAAACTAATACGAATACAATTTAGTGGCTCGTATACAAAAATATCTGTTCGGTGTATGTATATGGGATTCGAACCAACTTAAAACCAACTTAATTCCAACGTCAGAGCAACGACAGTATGGCTGACTTTAAATCGTGACCTGATCCTATTATTGAATAGAAAATAATGCAATGTAAACGTTTATATTAATTAATTTTCGAGAAGTGATTTAAAAGCTCCGATCCACGTTGGCCGGGTTTACTCGATAACGTGTAATTTATTTCATTTTTAAATATAATTGTATCACTCATAAATAAACGTTTTCATTTACACGTATCAGTTGAAATGAGAGTTGTTTCATATCATAAGTAAGAAATTAATGGAAAACTCAAAATTTTGTCAGTAAACATTTTTTATGGCGTAGCAAGCGAGCAGAACGGTCGCCTCATATTGAGTTGTTGGAATCGCCTATAAAAAAATCCACACTACCGATTCTTTACCTAGTGATATTCAATATTTCACATACTTCAAATTTATAACTGTCTTCAGTAAAACTGAGAATACAAAGAAACAACAAGGGTAATCTGATAAGACGTCGTTTTACACTTACAATACTCGTACTTACAATGACAACACATCGTCAAAGTAATGCTCGCGTTATTTAGTGCCCCCATGATGTGGCATGTAAAAATAAAATTACGCATTCTTTTATTTATGACTTTATAGTAATGTATATGTTAAAGATGGTTGTGACGGTCTCCATTCGATATCGTCAAGTAGACTATGTCCAAATACTCTCTGAACAAACATTAAATAATTATCCGTAGTACACAAAACCAACACTCCCTTAAGATTGGGCCGGCTTCCCGCGATATCCCTACTTACTACGTAAGTTAAGGGATGTTATCCATAATTTCTGTTTCATTAGTTTCATCTTGAGTGCTGAGAGTGGCATAGAAAGTAAAAATGAATCCTAAAATACCACTATTAAAATTTGTAGAAACATCATCACGCTGTGGGACTATCATCCATCTGGTTGCAAACAGGGTAATAGCCGAGTAACACTGCAGGCGCACTAAACGGTCCCGCGTTTGCAGGTGTGCCGTGCTGGGGCGGTGATGTCGGAATGGGGGTGGCGCTGCCTTTGGCGGTGGTGTGCGTGCTGGCGGTGAGCGGGGCGCCGAACGTGACGCGCCTGGCCGAGGCACCCGCCCAGCACCTGCTGCCTGACGACGAGGAAGAACTCACGCACCTCGACTACTACGATGAGGAGCGCATCAACATATCCGGTCAGTGGCTGACGATGAGCGGCTAAGGTAGGGCCACGCGAGTCCACGCTGTTTGTTGCACGAATAGGCAGTTCCGTCCGCGTAAGTATTACGACCTCACAGAAGACCTGCGTGAGTTGGAAGTGTTCGTGAGTGAGGTGGCGCGGGCCCACTGTATTAAAAGATGGCAACGCATCTGCAACCCTACGGGTTTTGGAAATGTCAATGGACGACGGTTATGCATTACATTTGGTGAACCGCTAACTCGATTGCCACATTTTCACATAAATAAGTAAGCAGCAGTTGACATTATTCCCCAAAAATCTGACGATATGAGTGATGGAACACTTTCTTAATTGACTTCCACTATGAGGAGCAGGTCAACATATCGGATGATTATCTCTCATGGCTCATACTACGCAGCAGTTGGCAAGGGTAAAATGTACTCACCTATATCTGGTGAATAACACTCACGCTGCACAGGATCTAAGGAGGAGTGAAAAACAAGAGTCACCCCAAAGTCTCTTCAAGAGAGCCAATATTATAAGCCTTGATAGATATCTCTCCATTGTTCAACAATAGGAGTGAACTAGTCAGTTCTCTGCTACAGGGAAATAGAACCTATGTACTATAATCACAACGATGATGATGTCAATAAATCAGACTCCCACACTCCACCCACTGACCACAATGGCACTTCTTTTGCTTACTCAGCAAAATCTTACCATACGTCTTTCTCCTATGGCCACGCTTGGCCATAGGAGAGAGACGTATAGTAAGACGTCAAGCAAATCAGTCCTTCAACGTAACGTAGCAACTAAGTCACTCCTCTGATGCAGAGAGAAATTTGGATGCAAAGCCTTTCGTGTTTATTTTTTTCGTTTTTATCTTTAAAAATAGGTTAGCAAACGTTTGAAATTGAAAAGGAGAAATTTGTTTGCGGCAGTTTTGTTTTTTCTACGCCACTAACATACTTACGTTCTTTATTATTTGTTTATCTATTACTATGTATTTATGAACTTAGTCATTTTAAGAAAAGAAATTTTTCCATCACATTTATTACTGGCTGCTTTATGGTAGCAGTTGAAAAAGAAAAGAGGTGTTGAAATGTTTTCTTTTGAGCCTAATAGCACAATAAAAGTGCTCTGACTATACTTAGCTATATTCGGTTTACTCGATTATGCTAACAATGCAGATGGCATTTGCGGCCTCGCTCCAGTTTATACCGCGTCCATTTGAAAAGAAAGCGCACCTTTAAAACATATTTTAAGTCTTTAATATTTTTATTTTCGTTTTATTTTTTAAAAAAACGTAAAAATTGAATACCTCTGGCGTGAATAAAGTGTGTTTTTGTAGACGTTTTACGTACAGAAATTGTACAGTCAAGCATCACATTACTTTACTGCATTTGAAAAACACAAAATAAGTAAAAACTTCCAAATTTTACATTTATTTTTGTGGAATAACAAAATGGCTAAATTTAATAAGGATTTGGGTTAGGTTTAGATTTATTAATAACGATTTAGCCGTTTAATTATGCAAAAGTAACAATTCAAAATGATGAATTACAGAGATAACCTCGAAGGAACAAACACGTGAACAGAGATTAATTTTAAAGAATTTGTGTTTGGATTTGTTGGGTAGCACTTACCACCCACAAATACTTTATGACAATGCAATTTTCACTTAATTAATGTTGCCAGTAGTTTTATTTTTTATTACATTTTTTTTATTTCTATATACGTTGTATATGTCGATCTGAGGTCTTTTGTACATTACATTTGCTGTCAATAACGTAATGGTTTTATTAAACACTTACGGTCGGTTAGAAAATTCTATCTATCTGTACATTTGATTACTAGCGATGGGTATTTGACATTAGCTCCATAATACTTACGTCAGAATTCTATCTCCAGTAAACAAATCTACAGAAAGATTCAATATTGAAACCGGCTGTAAGTAAAATATTAGGTCAGTTATTGTTTTTTTTTGAACACATTATATATAAATAATTTCTTATTAAAATAAAAATTTCTTATTAAAATAGGAAATTATTTATATACAATGTGTTACAAAAGCTGTTTCTTTGGGCCCAAGTTTGCATTTAGAAATTAATGAATTTTACGTTTATACTCACGATATTTAGTTATCTTATGTTATATATATCTACCATTAGAACCAGAACGATTAAAGTTTGAAAAATAAAACAATTTTGGTCCTGTTAGAATCGAATCTACGGCCACAGTGCGGACACCTATTGCTTTCCAACTACACTAACCGACTCGTACATATATTATTCGGAGATCAGAAACGAATCAACATTATATCGTTCAGGCTCCTTAATTTATTTTCTAAGCATATGCTATTCTTTTAAAAGCAAAGTTCATGAGCATAATATGCTTAAACAATTGTCAGCAGAATCGTTTCATCGTATTATATGTTCTTTATTTTTATAGTACATTTTTGAATTGTTATAGTTAGTTTAAATTCAAAATACAAATACTCTCATTATACGTAATTATAAGAGAAAACACCAGCGTTTGAATCAAAAATTTTATTGAATTATGTTATTTATTTTAATAACATAACAATTATTTTAAGCGTCCTTTTGACATTTTTTTATTCAAACTCATTTGATTCTTTTTATTTTTATCATTTTTAAAGATTTCAAAGGATTGTTTCCCAAAACATGCCGAGGCCCCTACTTTATAATTTAAAAAGTAAGAGGATGCTGGAATATAAAATACTAAGTCACTTTTGTAATTAAAGTACCTTCGGCTACAGGGAACGAAAACAAAAACAAAAGCTTTCTCAAGCTTTCGAAGAACAAGACAAACAAATTTTTTGTACAGCTAAAGAAAGATAGGCAAAAAATAAAGTTAAAGTAAATTTGTTACTTTACAACCGAAAAGAAAAAGATAAAATTACGCATTGTTCATAATATCTTTAATAAGGCCACTATAAAACCCACATTGCATCTGTCTCTATCGCATCGGCTGGGGACACTGGAACACGAAGTCGCAATCTTCAATGGTTACGGCGCGACTATGGCCCTCTCAGTTCTCCTCTCCCGGGAAGTCAGGACACCCGATCTGGCCAAATGGTGCTGTACCGGTGCATTCAGCACAGCACCCCTCAGAAACCCCATATTGAGCCGCAGACAAACTGCCTGCCACATGGGGGCTCGCCATCAGAGCGAAATTTACGCGCGTAGACAAGCCTCCTAGGCTCTAGTCTCCGTCATTGGACATGCAGGGTGTTGGTTGGCTCCCTTAATCCCTCCGCGGCATCCTTCCAGAGGATAACGTCCTCACAATATGTAAGGACGGAAGCCACGCCCTCTCGCTGTCCACCATAGCGCCAATAAAATCAAATCATTTATTCATCCAAGTAAGAATCCATTCAATGTATTTTACATTTCATCTATCGGATAGTGACTATCCGGTGTTAAAATCTACCACCGTTTCGTAATGAGGTTCCTCTAACGGAGAATAAAGAGCAATAAGCCATATAAGAATAAGCAGCAGAGCCGTAGCAGGCAGCGAGAAATAAGACCCCATCTAAAATGTCATCTTCCACTGTGACACCTGAGTTTTAAACAACGAAAGATTTATGCAAAAATAGAAATAATAAATATCACAAAACTAAAGTAACTAAACTATGCAAAAAATCTTAAGATACATTTTTTACGACCCATAAAAAAGGTATTGAATCAAATCCTTTGCGAAAGAGAATGTCGTCTTCTTGGAAAGAAAGTAGTAATAAATGGATTTAAACCAAATGGCTTCAAGTTGCTCATAAGCTCATTGTCTACGTATATACATATTATTAACTTATCTGTGACATAACAGCTGAAGCAACGTCTGCAATGTATTGATTGACTGCTCCATTACTAGGAAGATTGATGTCACAATGTCACCACTCTCTAATGTATCTTGCATAACTCTCCAAAGAAAAACGATTGTCACGTTTGTCATTTACAAAAAAACAAAAATAGTCGAAGCTACTATTTTTGTCAATGAGTGTAAGAGTTATTTAAGACAGGCAAAAATCACAACTGGCGGACTATATTGTCCACCAATGCTTTGGTGTAAAAGTCGAAACTGCACAAAGAGAATCCCGTTAAATATTTGTCGCGTTTAAATCTCATGTTTTATCTCCTAAAATTACGAACACTTTGCGTACAATCACGCTACATTTTGTACCGCGACTGTATGTCTTCGTAAAGATCAAAATAATTAACGATAAAGTCCGTAAATACTTCAGAGCCATTTATTTGTTATCTATTTGCAATTGTCGCACGAACCAAATTTCTCCGATTGAACAAAGGAAAATATCTCAAATATCCCTTTCTACAGCTAGAATATCTGACCACTAGGAGCCGTGGTTAAAACCACAATGTCACCCCACCGCATTCAAATGAAATAAATGATATCGCGGAGTTAGGTAATCTGCCTGAATAAATCCAAATGAACGTCTTGGCGAGCTGCCATCCGTGAACAATTGGACAAACAGCATTTCAATAATCTCCTATAATGCTTCGGACTGTTGGCCAAATTCGGGAGAAAACAATATCGTCTTACTCTCTTTGTTTGGATCGAGAGTCTTCACTATTAATGCTACTAAGAAGTTTGTGATGCATTATGAATATATCTCATCAAAGCTTTCATCAAAGATGAAAAGTATTCTGCTCACTGTTAAATCAACGTAACGTCCTCGACAGTTCCATCACTAGCCCCTGTAGGATGATAAAAATTAAAAAACTTGATGGTTTTCTTTGCCGAAGCTTTCACTCATGCATCGCCAATCCGTTCTTTTATATTTATTGCTCTTCGCAAGAGAACTTATCTGCTGCAACACACAAAATAGTGCTGTTCACCGAATCCTCATGATTTTAAAGTATTAAATTAACGTATACCATAACAACGGAATACAACTATGGTAGTGCCACGCAACAGCTTCGGCTGTTGCACAAATGGGCAGGCTCGTCCGGATACCACGACCTCACAGAAGACGGGCGT